CTGGCCCACCACGCATTGTGCCAGCTCCATGTACTCGAGCTCGGGTACGGTAACATCCATATGAACCACAGGCGTAGCCGGGACCACATCCTAGAACCAGTACCGTGTGGGCGAAAGATTAAAATTCCTTCAATCTTCATGAGTTGAAAATTACCTTCCAAAAATTCTAATTTTCTCTACTTCTGTAGGGACAATTAGATAGGTTTGAACTGTCTAGTTTTGCCCGCAGATTTTGTTAGAAAGAAATGGAACTCACCCATACCTCCAGCACATACCGGTGGTGGTACTGGAGGTATCGCAGCCATACATGGTCCACCACCAAATCCGCCAAACATAGGACCACCACCACAAACACCGCTAGCGAAGCACTGAAGACAATCAGAATGTTATTCGATAGAGTTTTTCCATGCAATTAAGACAGCTTCGAAATCGTTGATAGCCTAAGCGATTTGAGTAAATGCTTTCTTCAGCACAATTTTCTGAGCGTTTTTTGAGCTATGTTGCGTTCTTCCTCCATTTATAGTTATTAACAAATTTTTGTACAGCTTACACTTACTTATTTTCCTATCTTAAGCATCTGAGTGAGTTTTTCTTCTGCCCAAAACTTTCATACTTCGAGCTATGGAGCAAGAAAAAAGCAAAAATGCGGCTTCAATTCATCTGAGCTCTTTACACATATAGCCATTTTTGAGATTTTGAGTACTGTCGATTCATGTGCTGCTAAAAAGAATGGATACAACAATACCAAAGTAATCATTTGAAAAGTAAAAAAATTCCTATTTTATAAAATTCTATATGTTTCGTTTTCTAAATCAATCGAAAACCATTTAGCCATTGTTAGAGGGTTGTTGAAAAATAGCTTGCAAGATGAGACAAATTATGAAGTTAGATGAGAGAATTTTGAAGGGATATGGGACTATAAACGAGTCACAAATGGAGTTAAAGAGGTTGTTTGAATAAGACAGTTCAAAATTATACTTATTTGTAAAGGTTCAAGATCT